GTTTTCTCAGGCACTGCCTGCTGCAGAGGTTCTCAGAGAGTCTCCCAAGAGGAGGGCAGGAGCTCTTTTCCTGGTGTGCCCCAGCTCAGGGATGTATAAATGACAAATTCTCATCTGTTTGTTCTTCCTGAGCTGGAAAGACCTCACAGTGATTTCAGTCCTGAGCCTGTTGCAGAGGGAGCTGAGCAGACCTGACTCCTGAATGCTCAGCTCCCAGATCTGCATGGGACACGTTGTGACCTGAGGGTGCTGCCAGTGGTAGTGGTGGCCAGATGCTGATCTGGCATGTTCAGGAGCTGGGATCCCAAATGGTATCACTGTCAAAACTGGCAAGTAAATGATGCACTGGCTACTTCTCTCCCATGTAGGTCATATACCTTTCTGGAGAGAAGCACACCTCTATGAACCTGGTTATGTCCCTGCCTCATAGTGACCACCAGCTTCTCTGAGAACCTGCAGGTGCTTTCCCTAGAAATTTCTCGAGACTTTAGCTGGGTTCCTAAGACACACTGTTGCCTAGAATCAGGGGTAGGTAAATACTTCTTCCACCCTCTGCAACTCTTAGTTTTTTCTTTTGAGCTTTTTTTTATCTTAGGACTAGATCCTGACTGTTCCTTTTCTTCCCCTTAAATATTTGACTTAGGAGCAGTCAGTTTGAATTTAGAGACTTTAAGTAAATTTCATGTCTCATGAGGAGCATATAGTAATGAGATAGAGAAGCAAAGGACTACAGAGATTAAAAGTGCATTTTTTAAAAGCGGGTGCTTATGATATGTTTGGAAGAAGCAAGTGCTGGGAATATGCTCCAAATAGATAGCTGGGCACAAAGATCAGTACAGGTGTGTACTGATTTCTAGATGTTCTAGAAGCATCAGAAATGTATTGCATGAGATAGAGGATGTTGTTGAGCCACAAGGTAATAATGGTGGTCAGGCAGCATGGCTGTAAAGAAATGTACTGGTTTTCCCTTGCACAAGTAACAAGAGAAGAAAGACCCATGGGATGCAGGAAATTGACTGACACAAGTGTAAGTTAGAGGAGTCAGTTTTTCTACCCCTTTATGCCCATATATTGTCCACCATCATCCCTTTTTGGAGGAGCCTGGTCCCTTTTGCTGCTGGAAGAAGGACACAAAGCCAGGTATTCACCCTGTTTTCAGGGAGCTGGAGGTGTGCTCATCCTGTGTGCTACTTCATTTCTCCAGGATTTTGGTTACTTAGTCTCAAAGACCCTTTCAGGTATCCCCTGAAGCACATGTGGGCTGAGTGTGGAGAATGAGATGGAAGAAATGGACCTGTTGTGTCAATTGCAGTGATATCTTTTCCAGGCTGGTTGTCAAAAACAGTGACAAGGACATTGCAGGAGAGCCCAGTTGGTGCCACTTCCCATCATTTGCATAGAGCATAGAGCAGTGCTTTTGCTGAGTCTCTGTTGCCTCTCCATAGGCACGTGGTGGTTGTATAAATCCTGCTATTTTTTTTTCCTCTGTACCTCGTATAGAAGCTGTTTGCAGTAATTTTCTAGGTCTAATCCTGTCCTAACAGAAGTAGACATCTGTCAGGGCAGCTCTGGAGTTGGAAGGGGTACACATCTATTTTAAAGCAGGAAATTCTCTTAAGTGCTGGTTGTTGTTATGCAGCAGCCAGTAAGCAGAGAGAAGGCTCTGGCTGGTTTAATCTGCCTGAAGACTCATCACTTCCCTGTGCAGATGCCTCTGCAGCTCAGAACTGCAGCCTGCATGGATACTCAGGACAGAATAAACTATTCAGTTTGGGGACATGAGCAAACATTTTGAGAGCTTCCTATCTTCTCGTGGTTTGGTTTTGCGGGGTTTTTTTTTCAAAGGAGAAATGTGAGGGATTCTGTATCATAATTTTCCCATAGCTGAGTGTCTCTGCATAGTTGTGGGGAGGCCCTGGATCCCTGTGAGGGGAGGCAGAAGGCCTGGCAGTGTCCCAGGTGTGTTTGTGTGGTGGGGAAGGTGGGCAGAGGGTGGCATCTCTGGCCCATCAGACTCTCCTTGCAGTTGCCAGTAGTGCTCTGAGCATCAGCCCAGTGCCTTTTCACTTGGGTGCCTGAGATGAATTGGTGCATGGAGTGCAGTGGGAGATGAAAATTATGCTCCCACACCCCCCTCTCCTTTCCCTGTTGGCTAGAAGTGGCTGTGTCAATAGTGATTTACAGCTGAAAAACTGCCCACTTTACGGTTCTGCCGGTAGACCAAAGATCTCATCAGCTTACATTGAATTACAGGTGTAGGGCTGGAGGGGATTTCAAGAAGGGATCTAGGCTTTGCAATGAAATAGCATTTGCATCAGGTGTTTATTCTTTTTCTAAAAAAACAAACCAAACCAAAACAAATCAAACAAAAAAAACCAACCCAAAACCGAAACAGTGCTGGAGATTGTGCATCACAGATAACCTGTTCCAGTATATCACCACTTTGGCACTATAGAAATTTGTTTCTTCATATCTAGGCTGAATCCTGTTTACCATTTGAGCTGATCCTACAACATGGAAGAAGAGTAGAAGGCATTCCCCCTTTCTGACTTTATGTTGCAGGCATGTCTACAGACTGTTCTGGTTCCTTCAGTGTTATCTTTCTAAGACTAAACACACCCAGGTCCTTCTGTTATTTTTTCCAAGTCACACTTTCTACCCTCTAATTTTTGGTTCTTTGCACTGGAACGTCTCTGGTTTTTGCATCTGTTTTATAAAAAAGCTTATGTGAGGCTGGGTGCGGTCAGTTGGCTAAAGTATCACCTAGGTGAAGTGGAATGGAACCTTGGGCTCTGTGTTACACCTACCGTGTAGCTACTAAGATGTCCCAGGGTGTCATTTGCCTACTTTGTAGCAACAGAAACCAGCTAGTTTGGAATTAACTTCTGAATGAGTGTAAGGTGTGTATGCAATTATTTTTTTTCCTGGCACATATGAGTTATTGTTCTGTGATCCATTTTATTATTATTTTTTAATCCCTTCATATACTATTCTGTACTTTTCTTTATTGAAATTGGCTGGATAGTATGCTTTAAGTAGGTCTAGGGTTCCTGCAGCCAGATCAAAATGCTGCAATAAGATGCCACCAAATCTTGAGCTGGTTTGACCTTGATACGTTGAGGGATTTACTAATTTTTTGTTGTCAGTTAAAAAAAAAAAAAAGTTTTGGGTTTTGTATGGTTCAGTAGAGTTTACACTTGATCAGATGTTATCTTGCCACGGAAAGCTTTAGTGGTTCTTGCACAGATAGCCAAGCCAGTGTCTTCACTTGTTCCTTAGTGCATCCTCCCTTCTGATGTCCATTGTCACTGAGCTTGGAGCTCAGTGTCTTCCTTCATGGGAGCCATGGAACCCTGCCCTTTAATTTTCTTCTTGATTTCTCACTGCAGCTGGGCCTTCCTCCTGCAGTGATTTAGTTCAGGGACTGAAACTGGAAAAGGGCCAAGCCTTTTGTTAAAAAAAAAAAAAAAAGTTTTCCCTCTAGTTTGTTCTGACCCTGATCTCTTATGGAATTAGGTGGGAGCACGAGGAGGGAATACCTCACGAGGGGGTGGGGGTCAAGAGGGTACACTGCCCTTTTCAGCTGCAGTGAGCCCTTAGATTGGTTCCAACACCCTGCATTTTGTCTTGATAATTTCAGGCCCCTTTCTGTCTGGCTGTTACTTAATGCTTTGCTATCTTTATACTTTCTTATCTTGTAGGTAACTACAAACTGATCATTTAACTTGATCAAGAATCTTTCAGAGGATTGAAGTTACTGGTCTGTAACTTAAGTCTTCTCCAACCTTTTTTTTCTTTTTATAAAGGTAGGTGAGGCATGATGCTTCTCCAGCCTTCTGTGGCCTTCCCATATTCCTGTAAATGTTCAAAGATGGTCACTAATGCTTCAGAGATTACTTTGAATGGTCTCTTACATGCTTTCAGGTGAATGTTCTTATTCCCTCTCATCTACAGCTGTTTCATTGAACATTTGTTAAGCTGTTCTTTTCTAACCTGCTCTTTTCTCCCATTTCCAAATTAATCTTACTTGTCACTTTTCTTCTGGAGACTGAAGGAGCATTTGTGCTTCAGCCTTTGCATCATTTGCTTTCCTTTCCTGTTTGGCAATGGGAGTGTAAGTACCTTTATTTTCTTTTTCTAACATGCCCACTTCTCTCTGGTTTGCTTGTGATTGATGAGTTCTTAGTAACAGCTGTGCTGATTTTGACTAAGAGACCATCTAACCTTCTAAGAAAAAAATTAAAAAATATATATTTTCCAATTACTCTTACAGCCTCCAACTTCTTTCAGATAAAGGAATTTCAACAGTCTAATGTGAGCTTTCTAACCATGAACAATCAATAGATTTGTCTTTCTAGTACTTGTCTTTGTTAAATCCATGTTAAATTTTCCATCATTTTTTGAGTACTACCACACGAGTTACCTGCTAGTGAAGAGTCCCATTTGTTTGGTTTGTTTTTAAGCTGACCCTCATTGGCTTTATGTGATGGCTGTTATCACTTATGTCTGAAGAGATGGTGAATCATCTGCCTGTGTTCACCATCTTTACACCATTCATTATTTTATGGACTTCTGTTATGTTGCCTGTCATGCATCCTAATTTGTTACAAGGATGCTGTTCCATAGCAAAGAGAAGATTTATCTGGTAGTGTCCTAGGTCAGTACCTTTCTTTGAAGCCTTGGGACACTGACAAGGGTACTTGGAGTCCTTGTCTAGTTCATCTGAGGGGAGATGCTGAAAGCCAGACTCTTTCACAAGATGTCTCATGTGCAGTTTCATACAGCTGATGATAAACAGCCTCTCTGTCCTTTAGTGCTGTGTGGAAATCAGGAAGAGTTTCAGGTGTTCCTTGTGAGGATACATACCTGTGCTGAGGGAGGGGATGGTGTGACTGAGGCCTTTCCCCTGGGGTGGTGGGAGGGAGTCGTGGGCACACTCTCAGAATTGCTCTTCCTTGCTCTTTTCAGAGACCAGGCAGCCCAGCTGAGACCACTCAGCGATGACAAAACACAAGCTTCTGCTTGATGGCACTCTCTCCTTGTTTCTGATCGTGGCCTGTGAAGCTCAGCAGCTCCCGAGGACTCATGTCACTGCTAGTTCTGGTCCTCTGTGTGAGAAGGAGGCAGAGTCCTGGGGAAACCTTTTCAGCAGTGAGCGGCTGGATGCTTGGATCTGTTCCCTCATCGGCTCGTTCATGGTGGGGCTGAGTGGGGTCTTCCCCTTGCTGGTGATCCCATTTGAGACGGGAGCCGCTCTGCGGTCAGAAGGTAAGATAGAGAGTCCTTGGACGAGTGCAAGCCCTGCACAGAGCTTGTGCAAAGAGTATTGTTTGGTTTGCACCCTGCTTGTTCCAGGACCCTCCCACATACTGCTGTCCCAGCCGAGTGGTACAAGGGCTTTCTCTTGCACTCTAGCTGTTTATTTTGGGCTCTCTCCTTTGCAAGCTTGCTTTGCAGAGTCTTCCAGTTTAGGTCGCAGCTGGGGATGCCTTGGCTCCAAGCTGAGTTGTGATCAGCTTTTGTTTCTTCCTTTTGGTTTTGTGTTTGGTTTTTTTTCAGCTGGCTCACACCGTTTGAAGCAGTTGTTGAGCTTTGCAATTGGTGGACTACTGGGCAATGTGTTTCTGCACCTGCTTCCTGAAGCCTGGGCTTACACATGCAGTGCAACGACAGGTATGAAAGCTGTGTGTGCCTAGGACCAGCCTGTGCTATGCCTACTGCTGACTTTTTTGAGTCTGTTCCATTTTGAAAACATAAGACCAGCCAGGCTACATTGGCCCAGAAACTAGCCTAGGCTGATATCCTCTGCAGTTCTCCAAAGATTTAATTTTCCTCTGTCCTTTCTATAAGGAAGGGGAATGCTTCTTGAACCTGATGGGAAGTCATGGATGTGTATGTGGTCTGGTACATGAATGTGTGCACCATCTCAGGTGGGGATTCTGCCCCATCAGATGCATCTTGTCTATAAATCTATAACAGTGTTACTCTTAGAGCTTCTTTCTTGGAACTAACTGGGGCCCCTCCATTGGACACTTCAGTTTATGGGAAACCAAATGTGTTGGCTCTTAGTCTTTGCTCAAGGAGAATTCATGGAAAAGTGTCCATGAAGCCATTACTAAGATGGCAGAGGAAGAGCAGGAAGGGGAAAAAAGAAAATGCAGGTGACAGAAATCTGCATTTGCCAGTGAGCTAAACATTGGGTTGGGACAGAGCTTGTGGTATCAGTGTATCTCCTGCACGCCTCAGATAGCCAGAGTTGTTGAAACGTGTAGTGATGATACCTCTTGAGCTGATGGCAATGAAGGCAAGTGCTCTTGCCACCTGGTGAGAAACCAAGAAATCATTTCCCTGCTGAAAGTGTGAGAGGTGGAAAAGGATGTCCTGGGTTTCCCAGACTTCCTTGCACCCATGTCCTGGGATTTCAAATCTTCTGGGCCTTCGGTCATCTTCTTTCTCATGGCTCTGGCACTACCAGCAGAACCTGCTGTCCTTTTTTTCCCCCTTTCTCCAATGGTTCCCAAATTACTTTGTCTTCCTGCTCTAGCTTGTTTGCTTCTGCCAGGCTGTCCTGAAACGTAAAAGGTTTCCTTGACCCATGTAAGCCCCATTACAGAGTCGTTCTGTTCTTCCACTGCAATGCCATCTCCATTTCTGCACTCAGGCTGAATGGATGATTATCTAACAAGCTTGGCTGTAATTGAAAAGAAAGTTCATAGCTTTGGGCTTAAGAACTTACCCAGGTGTGTCAGAAAGGGGAACAGCTTCATTAGTGGCAGGTTTCATGTCAGGACTTGCTGCACAGTAGATACAGCTGCAGGATTTTTGTTGATGTAATCTTCACTTGTCTGTGGAGCTCAGGGAAATTCCCAGTGTTGTCAGGAAATATTCTGGACTGCACTATTGAAGCAGAAGGAGTTGGGGGAATCTTACTCAGAGTGTCCTGTGACAAGGATATCTGTTAGATCAAGAATGATCAAGTTAAATTAATTTGCTGTGAGATATGTTTGCTCCTTATTCCTCACAGGAGGTGTTTCCATTGTTATTTATTTATTTATTTATAATTGGGGGGGCAGGTCTTGGAACCACTAGTTAATAAAGGATGGGTTGGGTTAACATGGGAAACATTGTGTACTTGATGAAAATTTCTCTGTTATCCCTTAGGAGTAGGGCAGAGCTTTCAGCAGCAGAAGCTTCTGGGTCTCTGGGTGATCATTGGTCTCCTGACCTTCCTGGTGCTAGAGAAGATCTTCCTAGAGAAAGAAGAGGAGTGCCCTGGTGTGGTAAGTTAGCAGCCAGAGGGGAGGGAGTGCTGTTGTGTTTGGAACACTGTACTAAACACCTCATTTACCCTATCTGACAGGCTCAGTGAGTGATCCTGGAGCTGTGAGTAGCTTGTCAATGCCCTTTGGGACCTTTTTGCCACTTCTTTCACACTGGGCTGTAGAAGGTGTTTCATCTCCAGGCTTTGGTTTTGTGGTTTTAACTGAGACTTCTCACCTCTGGGTTGGTTTTGTTCTTCATGTGGTATGTGTGAAAGATAACTCCCCTTTTTTGGGGACTGGGAGCTGTAGTGCTCTGCAGATGAGATTTTTGCCAAGTCCGCCTGGAGGGATGAGGGCTTGATGATGTATGTTCTTGAACCATCATGACTCACTCTCCTTCTGGGTCCTTAGTCAGGACACTGGAAGTTTTTGTTGATGTAATCTTCACTTGTCTGTGGAGCTCAGGGAAATTCCCAGTGTTGTCAGGAAATATTCTGGACTGCACTATTGAAGCAGAAGGAGTTGGGGGAATCTTACTCAGAGTGTCCTGTGACAAGGATATCTGTTAGATCAAGAATGATCAAGTTAAATTAATTTGCTGTGAGATATGTTTGCTCCTTATTCCTCACAGGAGGTGTTTCCATTGTTATTTATTTATTTATTTATTTATAATTGGGGGTCAGGTCTTGGAACCACTTGTTAAACTGGGATGGGTTGGGTTAACATGGGAAACATTGTGTACTTGATGAAAATTTCTCTGTTATCCCTCAGGAGTAGGGCAGAGCTTTCAGCAGCAGAAGCTTCTGGGTCTCTGGGTGATCATTGGTCTCCTGACCTTCCTGGTGCTAGAGAAGATCTTCCTAGAGAAAGAAGAGGAGTGCCCTGGTGTGGTAAGTTAGCAGCCAGAGGGGAGGGAGTGCTGTTGTGTTTGGAACACTGTACTAAACACCTCATTTACCCTATCTGACAGGCTCAGTGAGTGATCCTGGAGCTGTGAGTAGCTTGTCAATGCCCTTTGGGACCTTTTTGCCACTTCTTTCACACTGGGCTGTAGAAGGTGTTTCATCTCCAGGCTTTGGTTTTGTGGTTTTAACTGAGACTTCTCACCTCTGGGTTGGTTTTGTTCTTCATGTGGTATGTGTGAAAGATAACTCCCCTTTTTTGGGGACTGGGAGCTGTAGTGCTCTGCAGATGAGATTTTTGCCAAGTCCGCCTGGAGGGATGAGGGCTTGATGATGTATGTTCTTGAACCATCATGACTCACTCTCCTTCTGGGTCCTTAGTCAGGACACTGGAAGGTGTTCCTCACTGTTCATTCTTCTTGGATGTGGCCTGGACCAGACATTTGTTCGAGTAACTTTGTGTGGCAGAAGGGGTTTGTGGTTGACCTGGTAGTACTAAGTAATGGTTTAGAGGAGAGTCACTTGGCCACAAAGGGACAACGTAGACAGAGGTTCTAGATTTAATTCCAAGATAAAGAGCTAGTCCTCTGACATCTGCATAACTCCTAGCAGCAACTCCTGTAGACTGTTCAGTACTTGCTGTGCCGTGATGTTTGAGAGGTGAAGCTGCAGGTCAGGCACTGCATAAGAGCAGTTAGGTGTTACTTTGACTCACCATGAGACTTTAAAATCTGAAAGGAACTTAGTCTTCTCATTTACAGAGAGACTGAAGTCTGAGGTAAACATTTTGTTATTTGGAAGCTTACGTTCCTTAGCCTTGGTTATTCTGATGCACTGTAGAGAGCAAGACTCTTTTTTCCCCTCATCCCCTGCCCAGATGGAGTTGTATTTCTTTGGGAAGCAGTCACCAGCAGGAGGGGCAGGCTCAGTCTGTCCTGTTTCCAGTGGAACCTAGCTCATGCCAGGCTGTGACTCCAGTTCCTCCTTTCTATTTCTATTTTCCTTCTCTCGATGGTTGGGAAGTCCTTATTCTTGTTGTCTCACAGTGCAGATGTCACAATGCTCTCTGAAATCAGTCTTGTTTCTGGCAGTTGTTGGTATTAAGCTGGGATACCAAAGCTGCTGGTTTGCATTGTGAGGAGAAAAGGATTACAGGTGAAGACTTGATTTCTGACCCTGATTCATGCTCATTCTTTGCTGACAAAAAGGCAGTGACAAGTTGTTTTCCTCTAATTTAGGGCTGTGATTCCAAAGCACCAGGTGGAAAGGTTCCCAATGGAAGTGGCTACCCGCTGCCAAAGGTGGCAGGCCAATCCCAAAGAGCAGGAGCAGGTTCAACTCAGTGTAATGGCTCCTCTCTCCAGTCTTGTCCAACGGACAACAGAATCAAGGTAAGAGACCCACAAAATCACCTTCACATCTTAATGTCTTTCGGCAGATATTTTCAAAGTCAATCAGGTGGATGACTTGTCTGTGGTAAGATCTAAGTGCAGAACTCGGTGTTTGAGTGAGTTGTGCTTAAATGTGCTATGTCAAAGTGTCTGTCCAAGTCCCACCAGTGAGGAAATAGCAGATGTGGAGAAAATCTGCACTGCAGCTTATGCAATAGAGGCAAAGTCACTACTGTGAAGGTGTAAGTCTGATGATGTGCATTTTGGCTGAATCCTGAGGCCAAAGTGCATACTTTCACGTTTTGTTACATATTTGTTTGCTTAAAATTTTGTGCCATCATTTCTCTGTCCTCTAGTGCCTGCATTGTCCTGATTGTGAGTGGCATGTTTCCTTTTAAGACACCTTTTTGGAAATGTTTGGGCAGTGGAAGCTATCCACTGTAAATCAGAAGTTCAGTTTCCCAGATGAGCTGTTAATCTGCTACCTAAAAGGGCTTCTTGTCCACTTGTGCCTCCGGATGTGTATTTGCCATCACTTCCTTTGTCCTGGAAGCCTATTCAGGGAGCTAAACAGGCACATAATTAGCTTTTTCTTTCTTTCTTTTTTTTTTTTTTTTTTTTTTTTTTCCTTTTCCATAGGTTTATTTTTCTCCTAACTTAACTTCTTGAATCAGCTTCACATGTAGACAGGCACCTGTAGCACTGGGATAAGGGACTACTGTACCACTGGGCAGTGACTAACCTTTAGATTGGCTTTGCTTTCAGTTTTATGTTACTATCTTTGCACTGCAGGAAGCCCTGTCTGAGTGAGCATTACAAGTTAGAGAATAAATTACTGCTTTGCTGAAGCAAACTCAAAAACTCAAACCTATAATTTGAGTTTGAAGGCCCAGGAAAATGTGCAAGACCGTAGGAGAGTAACTATGAAGAGAAAGTGTGGTTGCATGAACTGGCCCAAATCTGGATATGTGGTCAGTCAGAGGCTCTTCAGTCTTTCTCCTTTAAATTTCTTTTGCTGTGACTTTATAGTATAGTTCTTACTACACAATGTGAAAGATATGCTGAGGTCAGTGGGTATTTTGGTATCTGTCACATTCATTTAATCTGCACAGAACACCGCACAAACTACAAGATGCGATGTAGGTGTTTCTAAAAGTGAGAATGGTGAAGAAACCAGTATTATTGGGTTATGAAACATTGTGCTATTATTTTAGAAAGTTTTATATAAGGAACTACAGACTTAGAGGATGGTTAGTCTACAATTGATTTCAAATAGAAATGAAACACTGATGGGGGCCACAATTGCGCAGGGCAACCACCTTTGGTGGTTTGATTTTTCTAAGTGACTATTCATAAAAACACTGCATTCTCACATTTGCAGATATTACTATATTATTTAAATGGCACATTGTGACTGTATGAGGTCAGTGATATGAGTTAAATGGAGTAATTTCATCAAAAGAGCTGAATTTTTAATGTGTTTTGATACATGCAAGTATTAAGAAATAGGTTAAGAGAGAGAGAATGCAGATCATATTTATAAGATAGAAACAGTTTCTAGGAAGTCAGTGCCCTGGAAAAAGGTACAAGGATCACAGTAGGAAATTTGTTTAACACATTCTTCCATTGTGATGGTACAGACAGGAGAATGGGTGAGTAGGAAATAGTATGTAACAGAAGAGGCAAGTGTTCCTCTTTCTATTATAGCAGTAATGAAACAGCTATGTGACTTTTTCCAGCACTGTTATTCACAATATCCAAAATGCTACTGATAATTTATAAAAGGGTCAGGAAACAGCTGAAATAATTGTTTTAGGTTTGCAGCCCATGAGAGTGAAGAAAACCACTTACTATCTAGATCTGTAGATGTGACAGATCAGGAGTGACTTAAAGTATATAAATACCCATGTAAGAGGCATGACTACCTTTGAATAGTTAAGGCTATACCAAACAGTAGCAGGCAAGAAATCAAAGACAGCTCTAACTGGAGGTAACTTCCAGTGGAACAACTTACCTTAGAGACGTAGTAGATTCTTTGTGGCTTGTGGGTTTTAGGCTGTCATTGAAGCTGCTTTCTACAGAGTACACTATAGCTTAAGAAACAATGGGCTTCGTGCAGAAATGGAATGAGATTCTTTCAGTTTTGTTATGTAGGAGATCTAGACAACCATGGAGAGCCCTTTTAGTTTTAAAATCCCAACACATCTGTTCAGTCTTAGAGGCTGTTGTGAATATGCATGAAATAGAAACTAAGGAGTTAACATGTTGATTTACTTTCTACCTTCTGAGCATATAATCTGAATATTTTTATAGTCTTTCTGGTAGGGGGGAAATTATCAAAACTAGCAAGATATTTCTGCGTTGTTAGCCTGTTTCCTTAGGCAACAACATAAGCAGTCATTCCATCTGCCTGTCCATCTGTTCTGCCCTTCATTTTCAATAACTTTTGAACCCATAATTAATTTTACTTGAGTTCAATAGAGGATAAAAGTCTTGAGGGTAATCAGATTTCAGCAAGTTCCATAAAAATCAGTCTAGTGGTAGAGGAGGAATGCAAACTAATGCCCCATTGAAAAACTGTGGCAGAACTTAGATGCTGCATGATGCTGGGCAGGTCTGCCTGGTGGGCAGGTCAGCAAGTACCCCCGTACCTGGTGGGGAAGTGACTGTCATGCAGGGCAGGGACATGCAGGGAAACAGCATTGGCTAGAAGTGAGCAAAGTAGGTGCTTGCAAAGAAAAGAAAGCAAGCTATAGCAAACCAGATTTATTTGGTTGTATTATTCACTCAGTAACCTCATTTTTTTCAAAAAAAAAAAAAAAGGGGGGGGGGAGGGTGGTGGAAATACACTATTTAAAGAGACAAAGTCACCCTTTAGGGCTTAATTAGTAAGCTGTAATCTGTCATCCTTTGTCCATATATGTTAGAACTTACGCTCTTCAGGTACTGCTGTATTAATTGGTCCTAGCTTGAAAACTGCAAACTTCCTTTGCACTCAGACATAGATCAGTTCTGGCCTGCATTGCAGCCTTGATTCCCTCACAAGTGAAAACTTTGCAGAGTTCTTTTGCCTTGCTGCTTCTTTCTTTTTCCCTGTGGCACATGGAGTTCTTGCTGATTTGTAGACGTATGTTTTATTGCACAATGACATTAATTCTGAAGCGTGAACATAAACACTTCATCTGGCTGTGCTCTTTATGAGCAACAAGAACATCCTATTAGGAATTCACAGAATGTAAATGTCAGAGGCTCATAACTGCCAAATCAACCCAATTTATTTCTGAGCTCTCCAAGGTTTTGCGTCTTTCAGTGACAGCTTTTGCCCAAGCCACTGACAAGGACTAGTCATAATGTTTTAATCATCAAGTCTATTTTTGTCCCTATCAGTGGTATAGGAAAGCATTTTTGTGTAAAACTTGCATTAGTAATTATTACTAGCTAGTGGGGGAAAAGGCATTCATGTAAAATCCCCAAGTGAAAAGGAGAAATTTTAGACAGTCATATTTGACAAAAAATGAAGAATGAGGAGTGTAACTGCTGTGTTCATGGGTCTGCCTGAATGCATCCCTTTCTTACAAAAGCATTCAGGGAACTTCTGCATCCATTGTGGAGATGTTACTTAATTTATTACTTAAACATGATCTGTAGTTAGGCTTTGCTTAATTCTTAATATTAGTAATCAATGGACTTTTTAAAGTTCAGAGCCTATAAAGATGTCCAGAGATTGTGCACTAGAAGTGCTCTGCAGAAAAGCGATGCTTTGGAGAGAGACACTTGACAGAAAGTACCATCTGAGCTGTGGCATTTAGATAGCAGGAAGAAAAGGTGCCCCAAGCAGAGTCTGATAGGAGGAAAGAGCAGAAGACAAAAAAGGGTTCTTGAAACCCATCTCAAGCACTTGCTTGAAACACTTCTCCAGCTGATCTTGGGCACCTGATGCTATGGTAAAATAAGAGATTAATGCCTCACAGTTTCTAGACAGTCTCTCAGCTCACTGGATGCTGCCCTGTATCTGGAGATGCCAGCCTAGTTCTTGCAGTCCAGAGATAGCCTGATTGTTGGCTGACACCTGGTTTGATGATAATTTAATTAGCAGTGCTGTATAGTTAACTGCAGTATCTCAGGACTCACATGCAGTAGTTATTGTTAAATCTCATTGAAAAAACCTGTGAACGAAAGAGCTGGAGTGGCACTCTCATAAATCACTTGAGGTCAAACACTCAGAATTTGTCTGGAGGTGACCTTAGTTCTCATGATAGGGAAGCCTAACATGGAGATGGACTTGTGAGGAAGGAAGCTGCTTTATGCTTAGAAATTTAAGAAATATGTTTACATGCAAATGCACATACTTGCTGTCCAGCCTTCTACTAGGTGTTTTTTTTGTGACTGTCATCACTATCTTCTCTTCTTATTCTTTAAGGGAAAAAGCAAACCCACAAGCACAAGCTTTTTTAGTACAATGCTTGAAGATTTGTTTAGTTATAAAAAGCAATTTCGGCAGCATTTGCTCTGTTGCATTGTTCTTGCCATCTTTCAAAGAGGAGACATTTAACACTTGGATATTGAAGTACATGACTAGAAAACAAGATCAGATCATATTTTAAGCCAGTCAGCTGTATAAATTAGTCAGTGTTACCTGAAATTGATTTTATTTAGAAATTAATATATTCTTGTATTTTGGCTTTCTCCTTTTTCTTTCTCTTTTTCTGTTTGTAGAGCTTTTTGTCATTTGCATAAGATGATTATCCTAATCTCAGACAAGACTTGCCTACCCTAAATCTTACTCTAAAACAGAATGTAACTTTTAATTTGTACTTGAGCACTGACATAGTTTAAGATCTTCACTAGAAGTGCCATGTCCTGCCCTTTTCCATTGGATCCTGACTCCGTATAACCTGTGCTTATCATGTGTTTTCTTTCATCATGTTATATTTCCTCCTTTATGATGGGGCTCTTCCTTCTCTTTGCAGATCAGTGGGTACCTCAATCTGCTGGCCAACACCATTGATAACTTTACACATGGCCTGGCGGTAGCAGCCAGCTTCCTGGTCAGCAGAAAGGTAAGGTTTCTGTCTCCAGCTATGTACTGAACTGGAGGCCTGTTCTCAAGTGTGAGGTAATGTGCAAAAAAGCCCCAAAGATGTGAGGAATTCCCTCCTATTTTCTGGAAGTTTCTGAGAAAATGAAGACTACAGTAAAAAGCAACCCTATTGTGACCCTCTGATGCAGAGCTTCTTCAAGCTTGGGACATGTTAATCATTTGTACTGGCATTAGGGGAAGGGTTAACTCATCTTCCCTTTTGTTGAATAGTTCTGAACTCTGAGTAACAGGTCTTAACTTGGAGGAAGGGGCCTTGATGTGCTGTTGAACATCTCATCTCTCAAAGCTGGAGGTCTGCTTCCTAATCACCTTCTCTCCTCTGCTACAGGTTGGGTTCCTAACCACAATGGCCATTCTCCTGCATGAAATCCCACATGAGGTGAGAGGGCTCTGTGTCCTGCTGTCATGAGGGATTACAAGGGTGCTTCATTTAGTAAGAGGAGGGCTGGGTCTGGTTAACATTTTCTCTTCCCTTTGAAAGTTGCTCCCTCTGAGAGACTTACAACGGGTTGTTACATCTTGTTACTGGTGGGCTTTGTGACTGACAATGCTAGTTAACTGTCGCTCTTGGTTTTCTCAGGTTGGAGACTTTGCAATCCTACTTCGGGCTGGCTTTGACCGCTGGAGTGCAGCCAAGATGCAGCTTTCCACAGCTCTGGGGGGAGTTCTAGGAGCCTGCTTTGCAATATGTGCTCAGTCACCAAAAGGAGCAGGTAAAGCTCCCTGGGACCTCTGCAGGAATAGGAGGAGAAGCCTGTTGTCTCCATGTGTGCATCTTCTTTTCCTTCTCTGTTCACTCTGATGACTTTGTCCCAGTAACAAAGGCTTTCTGGTTTTGTGCAGGTGAAACAGTAGCTTGGATCCTCCCTTTCACTTCTGGAGGATTTCTCTATATTGCCTTGGTAAATGTTGTGCCTGATCTCTTGGAGGAAAAGAATCCTTGGTAAGTGTTCCCTTCTGTTCTTGCTGCCAAGGAGCAGGGATATAACCCTTCCCTATGCCTATTCTGGGAAGCACATGAATGCCAGCTTTCCAAATCCCACAGGCAAGGCTGGAATCAGATGGATTGCTGTGCTAGCTAATGTGTTTATGGGACTAAGAAGACCCTCTTAAAACATGAGAAGCTGCAACTGGGTCAGTCCCAAAGATTGTGCTATTGCAGTATGTGGCATGACCAGCCTGAGCACGTTGCTCAGAAACATATCCAGTAAGGTGATCTGTGTCTCTCTTGTCAGCTTCTGGCATTTAGGGACTGTTTGAGCCAGGGCCCCGTAGAGGTGTGTGTGTCCTGTAACTGCACATGAACTGATCCTTCACATGCTTTTCTCATCCCTTTTTGACCCTGCCTGTTACTTTTGGCTTCTGTGATCTCCCATTAGCAGCAAGTTGGTGTAGTTTGACTGCACTGCGTTAAATGATGCTTCTTATTATTTGTTTTCTAGCCTCTTGCTTATTAATTTTGATTAGATGCCGCTCTGTTGCTGTGTGAGTAGAAAATAACAGTTTTCTTCTCTTTATCATTCAGCATTTCATAGTCTGTTTTTGTATCCCACCTCAGTCACCTGTCTTATACACTGGTTTATATATTTTTGTGTATTTGACCTCCCCTCATCTATATCATTCTAGTTTCTTGTAGCCTGAGTAAGGCTATAGCAGGTCCAAATCCAGCTGTGACAGAGTAACGGCCCTCTCACATCTGCTGGCAGAGCTGCCCCTGAATGTTTACTCCTATTTCAGTTGCAATGACACAGATAACTTCAGTAGTTTAAACAAGAGGACTTGGCTCACCCCATTCATTTTGACTGCGACAGTTAAGGAAGTGCTCAAAACACACCTCCACAGTTATATCTGAGAAGGCAGGAATCTTTGGTGAAGAAATATTAATGACCAGCTGAGAGTTTGCTTTTGGGTTGGTAACTTCTTGTGCTGGCAGAGCTGTTAGCAAAGTATGTAGAGGTGGTAGATACATAGTCACTTCAATCCAGCATAAACCTGAGATAGTGCTAAAAGAGTGGCAAAATTCATCAGCTTTTTAAATTATTTTATTTAATTTTCCTAACTGTAGTTGTTAGCTGGATGAAGTCCCTAAAATATCTGTAAACATGCTGCACAAGTGCTGCTTCTATTTTGAGAGAAAGGACAGGACCTTTGTAGCTGCATGATTGAATCAGCTAAAATTGATTTTAAAACCTGAAATTGGGTCTTGCAGCTGAGTGGAACAAATACATGTCAGTTTATAGCCAGCTTCTTTGCTTGGGGTGCTGGGAAAGA